GATCCTGCGAAGACCCCCTCTGGCTGACCCGGGTTTGCGAGCCGCTCGTGGCCGCGAGGCGGCCTTGCATATTGGCTGACCCGGGTTTGCGAGGACCTGCGTTGCAGCTTTTTTTCCTGCATTGCAGTTTTGGGTTTCCTGCTGACCCGGGTCTGGACTGACCCGGGTCAGAAGATCCCCGATGTGTTTTTTTCAAAATGCTGCTCTCGCTGAGGCGCCGGCCTCATTTCTGCTCCCGAATCGTTCCGAATCGTGCTCCCGCTGCAGCGTGGGCCTCATTTTCGGATCGGTGTTTGGCCTCCGTCGTTCAGGATGGCGTTCTCGCCCCAGCGCGGGCCTCTTTCTCGCGCGCCCATCCGCCCGCCACCACCGCGCCGCACCACCACCACCACCACCACCACCACCACCACCACCACCACCACCACCACCACCACAACCACGCACACACGCACGCACGCACGCACGCGCACCACCACCCACTACGCACGCGCGCGCGGAGCCACAGGTCCGCTACGACACGCGTCCGCGGATAGAGAAAAACAGCGCCATGGTAAGGGATGGGAGGGAGGGGTAGGACGTCAGATATGACGTGAGCGCACCTAGCTTGCCTCCCGCCCCCTCCCCTCCTGCCCCCCGTCCTCTCGATTCTCCCCAACCCATCCCCTCGATGCCCCCCCCCCCCACCTCTCCCCTCGATCGAGGTCTCCCCGCGGCGGCGGGCGCGCAGGGGCCCGCGCCGCTGCCGGCGGCCGCGGCGGTGAGCGGGGGCGCAGCCGCAGCAGGAGGGCCAGTGGGGGGGCCCAAAAGGAGGGTCCAGGGAGGGGGGGGGGAGAAGGGGAGGCGGACCCCCTCCAGGAGGAGGAGAAGAAGGAGCAGGAGGAGGCGGAGGAAGAGGGGGAGGGGGAAGGGGCGGAGGAGGAGGAGGCGTTGGGTTTGGGGTTGGGGTTGCAGTTGGGGTTGTGTTTGGGGGTGGAGTTGGGGTTGGAGTTGGAGTTGGTGTTGGTGTTGGAGTTGGAGTTGGTTGGAGGAGGAAGAGGAAGAGGAGGAGGAGGAGGAGGAGGAGGAGGAGGAGGAGGAGGAGGAGAGGAAGAGGAGAAAAAAGGAGGCCGAAAATAATGGGGGGAGGAGGGGGCGGAGGAGGAGTTGGGGTTGGGGTTGGTGTTGGAATTGGTGTTGGTGTTGGTGTTGGAGTTGGTTGGAGGAGGATGCGCAGGAGAAGGAGGAGGAGGAGGAGGAAGAGGAAAAAAAGGAGGCGGAGAAGAATGGGGGAGGAGTTGGGGGCGGAGGAGGAGTTGGGGGGGTGGGGTGGGGTTGGGGTTGGGGTTGAATTTGGAGTTGGTGTTGGTGTTGGTGTTGGAGTTGGTTGGAGGAGGATGCGGAGGAGGACGAGGAGGAGGAGGAAGAGAAAGAAGAGGAGAAAGAGGAGGATAAAGAGGAGGAGAAAGAGGAGGAGAAAGAGGAGGAGCAAGATCAGGACAAAGAGGAGGAGAAAGAGGAGGAGAAAGAGGAGGAGAAAGAGGAGGAGGAGGAGAGGAGGAGAAAGAGGAGGAGAAAGAGGAGGAGAAGGAGGAGGAGGAGAAGGAGGAGCGTGTGTGTGTGTGTGTGTGTGTGTGTGTCTGGATGTGTTTGTGTGTGTCTGTGTCTGTGTCTGTGTCTGTGTCTGTGTCTGTGTCTGTGTCTGTGTCTGTGTGTGTGTGTGCCGCCGGCTGCTGCCTGACGCCCTCGTTCCTTCCGCCCCCTTTGTTTCCCGTGCTGCCCATTGCCTTCCCCAGCGGTGCCCGCCCTCGCCCGGCTTGGCTCAATCTCCTGGGCAGCGGACCCGCAATTGTGATCGCTTCGCCGCCGCTCCCACTGGCCTCGCCGGCCTCCACCCTGGAGACCGTGCAAATCGCGGCCCTCACGTCGGTCACTCCTCCCGCCCCGCCTGCTTCTGGTCGCTTCTGGAGTTGGAGTTGGTGTTGGTGCTGGAGTTGGTTGGAGTTGGTTGGAGGAGGAGTTGGTTGGAGGAGGAGGAGGAGGAGGAGGAGGAGGCTTCTGCTCGCTTCTGCCGCCCTCGCCCTGCCGCCGCCCCCCCTTCGCTGCTGCCAGCTCTGGCGGCCCTTCCGCTGTCCCGCCTCGGCGCCTCGGCGCCTGGGCGCTGCCTTGCCGCTCCCCGCCCGCCCTGCTTCGGCGCGGTCTCCGCTTCGTCCGCTGCTGTGCGTCCGCGTGCGCGTGCGCGTGCGCGTGCGTGTGCGTGTGCGTGTGTGCGTGTGCGCGTGTGTGCGCGCGTGTGTGTGTGCGCGTGTGCGCGTGTGTGTATTTATGTGTGGCGCGTGTGTGTGTGTGTGTGTGTGTGTGTGTGTGTGTGTGTGTGTGTGTTTGTGTGTGTGTGTGAATGTGTGTGTGTGTGTGTGGCGCGCGCGCGTGTGTGTGTGTGTGTGCGTGTGTGTTGTGAGTGTGCGTGTGTGTGTGTGTGTGTGCGTGGAAGCATGTGTGCGTGTGTGTTGTGAGTGTGCGAGTGTTTGTGTGTGTGTGTGTGTGTACGCGTGCGTGTGCGTGTGTGCGTGTGTTCATGTGTGTGCGTGTGTGTGTGTGTGCGCCTGTGTGTGTGGTGTGTGTGTGTGTGTTTGTGTGTTTGTTTGTGTTTGTGTATGTGTGTGCGCGCGTGTGTGTGTGTGGCGCGCGCGCGCGTGTGTGTGTGTGTGTGGTGGTGGGGGGTCACTCCTAGTCGCGCGAGTGCGTTTGTTGCTTTACGATCTTCTCCGCCCCGTCGCCGCGCACAGGGCTGCGACATCAAACATTGTGTGACTGTGTGTGAATGTGTGTGAGGGGTTAACTTTTCTCTTCCAGCGCAGTCACTCTGTCTAGCCTCCGACGCAAAAAACATGTGTGCTTGTTTGTTTCCGTGCGAGCGTGTGTGTTTTAAAGTGGGGGCGCCGCCGTGGCAGGAGGGCGGGGTCCCAGGAGGAGGGGCGGGGGATCCAGGGAGGGAGGGGTGGGGCTCAGGACCTCGGGCGTCGCGTAATGAGGGAGACAAGTGGGGATGTAAAGCAACCCTGACATCCTGGCGTCCTGTTTCTTTTCCATCGGGGAGTCTTCGCGCTGTTTTCGGGCCCCCGGGCCCTCATAGATCGATCAGGTTCGGAAGAAGGTGCAAACAAGTGGGGTCTGGGGCTTGAGTCGCGATTGTTTGTGATGCCACATTTGCTTTGCAACGTCGGAGCTCAGGGTAAATGGGGGCGTTGCGTCTTGGGGGATGGCGGCACAGTGGGCGTTGAAAAGAAAACGTGCGATGTGGCGCCGCCGGCCAGCTTTTCACACGCGGCCCCCCGCTTTGGGGATAGCGCGTGCCGAGGAAACCCTGGCAGGGGGGTACCGTGCACAGCAGGAGCCCTCGCGGGGGGGATGGCCTCACAGGGACGGAGCGTGATTGGAGATCAGTGCCAACAGCACAGGGGGGGGGGATGAAGAAGGCTGCACCGCTTGTGCACCCCAGGGAGCCTGGTCAAAAGCGTCACGAGAGGTGCAGGTGTCTTCGCCCCCCCGTGCATCGCCCCCCATTCCACAAAGCAACGCCCCGAAAGCATCCGCGACCGGAAATGTTCGGAAAGGGATGTCGATCGCGCGGTCGCGGCTAGAGGGGGTATATAATTTCGGTAGCGATGGGTGGGGGAGTCGGGGGCGGCCGAGAGGGGGGTGATGGGGGGGATATCGCGGCGGGGGCCATGAGAGCTACCAGATTGCATTGCCCTCTTTTTTAATTGTCCTTCTTCTACGTACTCTTATTGTTAGTTTTCTTATCCTTATTCTTAGTCTTCTTCTTCGTATTCGTGATATTCGTATTATTAGTATTATTACTATTTTAAATTATTATAATCATTATTATTATTAGTATTATTATTACTACTATTATTATTATTATTTGTGTTTTCTTATTATTTGTTGTTTCTTTTCCTTTTTATCATTATTTAATCGCTTCGCTCATTCCGCCAGCCCTGGAGCCCTCTTTAGGGCCTCTTGGGGACCTCTTGGGAGTCTCTTGGGGCTCCTTGGCGGCGTCTTGGGGGCCCCCAGGGCCTCTTGGGGGGCTCTTGGGGGCCTCTTGGGGCGGGAGGGGGGGATAGTCGATTGCGGCTCCCCCCATCGGAGGCCACGATCCTCGTGAGGGGTGTCGGAAAATTGCCCGGTCTGGCATCTCTGACCCGGACCTGCCGGGACCTTGACGGGGTACTTTTCGCCCGGAGACCCCCAGGGGCCGCCCCGCGCGCGCGAAGTAGAATATTGTTAACCAGTTACCGCAGATCTTAGCACGCCTCTGGCCCGTTGGGTCTGCGAATTTCAACACGTCCGCTCTGCCGCACACTTGCCTCGGACAATGATTTGGACGCCATGGGGGCGAGGGGACGAGGGGGGTGGGGTCCCAGAGCTACCAGATCATCCGAGACCAGGAGTGTTCGGTAACGGATGTCGGCCGCGCCAGATTGCGGTTGCGACCGAAAGGGGCCGAATTTCGGTAACGAAGCGGCGGCGCGTAGGGGTCGAAGCGGGGGTTCGACGACGTGGAAGGCTCGTTCGTTACTGGAATTCGCGACCAGAAGCCGAACTTCGTTCGCGACCGGTTCGTCCACATCGTCACCCGATATTTTCGGTATTAGCAAGGATGGGCAACCTTCCCAAGGGTACCCTTGCATCCTTGCCTCCTCGGTCCATCCTTCGCCACTTTCGTGTCCGCTCCCCGCTCGAAGAGCTACAAAATGGGCGTCCAAGGCCCTTGCATCCTTATCGCGCATCCTTCTGATACGGGCCGACTGTAACGGATGACCCGGGGGGGATGTTTGGAAGGGGGTGGGGTTCAGGAGGGGACCCAGGCGCTGGCGGCATATGGATTGGAGGTTTCATTTTCCAGCGCATTTTGCTCTCGAGCCCAGACCCGTTGGTTTTCGACCTCCCCTGGCCCCCCGACCCCTGCCATTCGCTCCGTCGTCGCCCTCCCTCGTCCTCGGTCCTCCCCCCTGGCCGAGTTACAGCAGCGCATGCAGAAGTTGGTTGGCAGTCATAATGGTACGGATTTGGAGCCCAAGGAGCCCGCTATTCCTCCCTGGGCTAAAGGCACCGACGCTGCTGTCAAACGTGAGCGCCTCACCAAGCTTGGAAGTCTGCTCAAGCTCCTGTCGGGGCCTGAGGACGCCGAGCAGCGTGCGGTTTTCGAAGCCGAGAAGCAGCGCCTGCAGGCCGAGTTGCAGGCCGACAAACCGCTGGAGGCCAACTTGCAGGGGCTCACCAGCCAGCTCAAGACCGCTCGCACGAAGCTGTCCAACCTGGCTGTCAAAAAGGAGGCTGCTCGTTCGAACCTGGAGAAGGCCAAGCAGGCCCTCGCGCAGGTCGAGCAGGACGAGCAGGACGCTAACAAGCACATCGTGGAGCTTGAGGAGAGGTTGCGCCATGTGGTCGGTCCCGCAGTGCAGTTTGATGATAAGTCACCCTCCCTGTCCACCTTCCTGCCAGGCATGGAGGCCACGGTCGAGCAGTTCGATGCCGTGGTCCGCGCGCTGGGCGGATCGGAGCGTTTCAGCGCCGACCTCATCGCCATGCGCGCGCTGGTGCAGAAGCTCAAGGAAGCCCCAGAGGTCACTGCTGCACCTGAACCGTTTCAGCCTGAGGCTCACTCCGCTCCTCCTGAGGCTCGAGAATCCATGGATATCGACGATGATGAGGATCAGGACCGTGCTAATGCTCACGTTGATGGCCTGGACGGTCGCACATGCCGTGAACATCTCAAAGAATGTGGCATTGATGTCGACGTGGGCGGGGAAGACGACGAGCTTGACGAGCCCAAGGTGCGAGAGCTGCGTGATAAGCTCAAGCGTCACTTGGCACAAGTTCATTCGCTTACCAAGAAGTTCAAGACCAGTGGTGCGACCGCTGCGTAATGTAATTGGGTGGCTCGCTGTGGTTTTGTTCTGTCTATGCTATTGCTATTACCCTGTTGCAATGACGACGCCTACTGCCCAAGATGAGCTGACCTCAGCTCCCAGACGTTCTCTCATGGACGATCCTGATGTTGATCCCTTTCAATTTGATGAAGCATCTGACAGTCAGCCATGTCTGCCAGTCACATGCGTTCAGGTCGCCCCTCCTGCGTCTTCTGCAAGGGCAGCCACCTGCGACGGCGGGTGCTACGTCATCGTCTCGGTCGCTACACTCACCTGTCACCAGGTGGCAGGCAGAGAGCGCCACATGTGCGCCTATTGCGTTGACGAGTTCGGCCTCTTGCTCGACGAGGGTGGCTGGCTCTACTACTGGTTGCTCCTATGGCATGAATCCTTTAGGCCCTGGCAGCACGCACTGCTCACCCCGCTCGCCCGATGGGCAACGCGTGGCAGAGGGTACCGACTGTCCAGGGGTTCGTCGACCTGATGTCAAGGTTGCTGGCCAGGTGAAGGGCAAAAGTGACTCGCATATTGTGACGCTCAACTCGAGCTCGCTGGGTCCACTGTGCGACTACCTGGCGGACAGCACTGCTCATGTGGTGCTGGCGCAAGAGCACCATGTTCCTGATACCAAGCTTGGCGAGCGACAGTCGCAAGTTGAAGATGCTGGCTGGAGAGGGCTCTGGGGCCCTGCCGTGCCCAATCAGGATGGAGGGCCTGGCACTACAGGCGGAGTTGCAGTTTTGGTCAGGTCACATATTCCTATCAAGGCGCCCCCTGGCTGCGCTCGTCATGTCCTCGTCCCTGGCAGGCTTGTGGCTGCGCACGTCATGTCCTTTCTGCCTGGCGGGGTTGTCTTCCTGTCGGCTTATCTCAAGGACGGCGAAGGGTATGGACCGTGTAACGCCGAGTTGGTGTGGGAGATCATCGAGTACCTGTCAGTGCTCAACGGCATGCAGATTCCGTGGGTCATCGGCGCCGATTTCAACATGCCGCTCGCTGCCCTGGACCAGTCCGACTGGATCGCGGCTGCTGGCGGTCTGGCTTTCGTTTCTGAGGCGCCCACCTGCAGGCAGGTTTCACCTGGCACGCACATCGATTATTTCATTTGTAGCAGTTGGCTTGCGCCAAAGCTTAACCCCCGCACGTGTGTGTTGGAGGCTGCCACCACCTACCCTCACCTCCCCGTCCAGCTTACTTTGAGGGCTCGGGAGACGCCGGTTTGGGCTCGGGTGGCCAAGGTCCCGAAAGCTTTCCCGTCTACCCCTCCCATTGGCTGCGCTAGACCTCCTATATACCCGTGGCACTCGGTTTTGTCGACCGCTGCCCCGCAAGTTGGCTCTGTAGCCAAGGTTGCTGATTTTTGGGATCTCGTCCTCGAAGGGGTGGAAAGAGAGTTGGCCGCCAGGTGGGACCGTGTTGGCTTAGCCGCCGAGGCCTATGTTGGCCGCAGCGGGCCTCTGGAGGTCCACTTCAAAAAGCTTGTCTGGACTCCCCCCAGAAGGAGGACTTATAAGGATCCGCAGGCACGCGCCTGGGCTGTAGCTCTCGGGCGGGCCAAACACTTAGGCAAGGCCAGAGAACATCTCAGTGAGCGACTTAGGCTTCTGCAAGAAAACGATGCTCTGCGCTCAACTGCGCCCCTGCAATTTCGCAAGCTTCTCACTGCATTTGATGAGTTCGATCGTTTTATGGCCAACATCGCCCGCTGCAAAAAAGTCTTGGGTTGCCTCGATTCGGATGTGCGTGATTTCTTCAATGGCGGCTTCGCCGTCCTCGCACGTCCTGATGTGGCCAGCATGCTCACTACTATCTACATTCGCGCGAAGGCAGCTATCACTCGTGCGGAGAATGCGGCGTCCCAGGCTTGGAGGCAATGGGCTAGGGACGCTTTCTCTGCTGGTGCTTCGAAGGCTCACAGGTTCTCAAAAGTGAAGGCCATCCAAGAGGTTTTAAGCAACCAGGCGCGAGAGGCACCCCACCAGCAGGCCGATGCCGAACTTGTTCCCTGGAAGGAGGTTTGGTTGTTCCACGGTTGTTCCGTTCTTGAGTTTCCCCGAGGGTCCACCAGTTGGCCCATGCTGCCGCCCATCACGGCCGCTCAGGTGGAGGATGCCGTTCACACTTACCCCATTCGCACTGCTGGAGGCATGATGGGTATTCATCCGAGAGCTTTAATACATTTGCCTAGATCGGCCTTCTCGGCGATTGCTGAACTCTTTAACCTGTGCGAGTTGCACTTAGCCTGGCCTAGAGAGCGTGTATGTAACGAGATGTGTCGTCTTGCCAAACCAGATGGTGGGACTCGTCTGATCGCTCTTGTCTCGTTACTGCGCCGCGTCTGGGGCAAAGTTCGCAAGCCCATCACCTTCGACTGGCAAGAGCGCAATGACTGCCACGCTGTTTGGGGTACTCGTCGTGGGCACAGTTCCTCAGACAGTGCTTTTGCCCACAACATTGCTGCCGAAATGGCTGCGCTAGTCGGTGATATTTCAATATCTGTCCTCTTAGACATGATCAAATGCTTCGAAATGGTTCACTCGGAGCAGCTGTTGAAAGAGGCTGAAGCGTTGCACTTTCCAATGCGGCTAGCTTGGATGCTGGTGGACCTGTACAGGCAGCCACGGCGTCTTCGAGCTTTCGGCAGCTTGTCGTTGCAGTTCTGTTCGCATCAAGGCATCCTTGCTGGGTGCAATCATGCGACAGGCATGCTTTTCCTTCTCACGCTGCGTGCTGTGCGTAGACTCAATGACATATCGCCCTGTATAACACCGAGAGCCCTCGTCGACGACATCTCGATTCAGCTCGTCACATCGGATCCTCGTGATGTGCGTTTCTTGGAGCGGGCTGTGAAAGTGTTCACCGAAGATGCCAAGGATCTCGGGCTCCACTCCCATGTCAAAAAGTCGGGGCTCATTGCAGGGAACAAAGTTGCTCGGAAGGTTTTCTCGAAGATGGCTGTTCGGCTGCATCTACCTGTTCGTAAATGGATGAGAAATCTCGGGCACGAATTAGCTGCTGGTCGGGTTGTTCGCACGCAGGAGAAGAAAAGGCTACATGCTCTCAAACGTCGTCGTGACAAGTTCGTTGCTCTGAAACATGCAGCTGGCAATCGTGCAACCCGACTTTGGAGGACTGGAGCTCTCCCAGCAGCTGGGCACGGTGGCTCCGTGTCGGGTATCTCAGACACTGCGCTGAAGTATTTGAGGCAGCTTGCGGCTACGATCGCAGGTGCCAAGCAGCACGGTGGCATCACCTCGTATCTGCTGACGCAGGCCGATCCGCTATACGACCCGATCTACGACTCCACTACTTGTGTGTGTGTCAAGTTCGCCACGTTCGTCTGGGACGGAAGGGTTCAGTTGTCGAGACTTCAACGTGCGTGGACCTGTTTGAGAGACATCATGTCCGATAACCCTACTTGGCAGCAGGCTCGAGGTCCGCTGTCGGCGGTGTGGCTCAGCCTGCTTCGCATAGGCTGGACGATGGTCAACGCCCACACTTTTCGCAGCGATCTTGGTACATATATTTCGCTGCTGGTGGTGTGTCCCAGTGATGTGCGCATTGCGATTATTGAAGGGGTGCAGCGGTGGCAGATACGCCGGTTGCAGCAGCACCTCTATAACACTGACCCTCCAGAAGGGGAGCCTTGGTTTCGTGCACTACGTAATGGTATTCGTGCTGTAAAAGACCAGCGGGCTCTTGGGGCCCTGGCTGCTGTCTGGGGGAATGTGGTTCCGCTACCTGCTGCACTATCTGCTATGCAATATGACGTACTACCCCAGTGCCTCGCCTGCTCCGATCCTCAAGGTACGTACGCACACGTGTGGTATGCCTGCTCTAAGTTCATCACCGACGACGGGGTTGACGCTCTGGGTGACGAGGTTCCTGAGGCCCTGGCTAAGCATAGGCGCGTGTTGATCCAGTCTCGGGCCTCTATAACTGGTGAGCCCGATGTGCACTCTAATTATTTAACTTATGGCATTCCTCCTTTGCCTACCAATATTCCCGCTCCGCTTGCCAACCCGCCTGTTTTTGAGTTTGGGGACGTCTCTGGGTCCTGGGGCCCTCAGTCTTTCACTGATGGTAGTTGCTATCACTCTGGGGTCCCAGAGGTCTCCAGAGCTGGTTGGAGCGTTGTGCAGTTATTTGATTGTCTGCTTCCCCTGAGGGCTGTATATGGAGCGCTCCCATGTGAGCGTCAGACCATAGGTCGTGCAGAACGTTGGGCTGTGCGGCAGGGTCTGGCATTTCATCCGCAGCATCAGAGTATTGCATCGGACCTCCAGGCTGTTGTGCGAGAAGGCAATTCTTGGAGCCTGCATCTTTCCCAAGGCATGTCCAAGCACGCCTCGATCTGGAGGTCCATATTTGACCTTAAGTCTAATCACCCCCAGTTCTCTTGGTTCCCAGCCCATCTGAGTTTCGATGACGTGTTGGAGCGTGGGCTGTGTGTCAAAAGTTGGGCTGGGAATCTGTGGGCTGACTTTTTCGCCAAACTAGGGGCTAGCTCTCACACGCTGGCTGAAGGTTTTTGCGCGGCTGTGGCAGGGAAATTAAAATATCATAAATCCACTGTGCGGTTCATTGCATGGGCTGCTCAACGCATGCTCGAGTCTGGCACATGGACGCAAGTTGACCCTGATCGTCCTCTCCGCCTCTTGAGAGCCCCTGCCCCTCCTAAGGTCACGGTCACTAGCCATGTGTTATTTCGCTGTGAGGCCACCAGCACCTATAAATGCAGGAGCTGCGGCCGCGTCGCTCGCACTTTGGAGTCGCTTAAGAGCCTACTCACGAGTAGGGACTATCGTGACTGTTTACCTTCTCCGATTCGGCGACACGTGTGCGACCAGTGGTTTCGTGAGTTTGGGGCTGCTTTTAGGCCCGTGCAGCTGGAAGCGGTGAGGGTTGCTCTGGCTGCTGCTGACGAAGCTCAGCGTGTGTGCATTGATGAGGTCCAAGGTCCCCCGACTCCTGTGGCTGAGCCCGAGCCGTCGGACGAGTGTTCTGCTTTTCGGGACCTTGGGCACGACGTTTTTCGTCACCTGCATGTGTACTGTTGCAAGCTGTGCGGGGCTCATGGCTCTCTTGGCTCGCTGCGAAACCTCACGCAGCAATGCAAAGGGAGATCCAAAGTCCCGAGCACAGCCGCCAATCAGAGAATGTCCATTCGACGGCTGGAGCGTGGGTGTCACCCCAGAACGGGCGCGAAGATTGCTGTCGCCGCTGAGCGCGACGATGACCGCGCGGAGCTCCGCCGCGTTTCCTCTTTGAGGCTGCTGGAAGCGGCCCGCGTGCCCGAACCTGCTCCCGATGGAGCGAGCTCGGGGTCTGACTAAACTCGTTTTGTTTTTCTTGGGCCGCCCTTGTAGTCTGTCGCCCGTCGCCTCCCCCTCCCCCGCCGCATACGCGTGCTTCTTCCTGGTGCTCTCGGCGCTGAGGAGGCTGGTGTGCGACGAGGCCAGGCAGGCGGGGCGGCCCTCCCGCTCGGCCCACGCCCTTGCGTGTGCTGGGCTTTGCTGAACTGGACCACCAGCTCGAGGCTTGCCTCTTGCTGGTGGCGTGCGGTCCGCGCGCTCCTCCTCCTACTCCTCCTCCTCCTCCTCGGGTCGCCTACGGCCCTGGGGGAAACCGTGCACCCCCTCTCCCGTAGAGGGGAAATCTGGGACTATTTGGGAACCACTTTCATGGTGTACGTTGATCTGCTGGGATTCGTTTGATTGTTCGGATTGTGTTCCTTGTATCGGTCATGTATCTTTTCTTTTTTTTTTCTCTCTCTCTCTCTCTCTTTCTCTCTCTCTCTCTCTCTCTCTCTCTCTCTCTCTCTCTCTCTCTCTTTCATCCTCGTCGTCACCTGGCCGTGTCATAGAATCCGATTGGAAAGTCGTCACAACAGAATCCCTCGATGTAAATCGCCCACAAAAGGGAATCCGAGTGGAAACCCAGGCATAAGGACTTGATGTGTAATCCGTACAATGGAAATCTATGCGTAAACCCCCCATGACAAGCAGCAAGCAACGATTATATGTGTAATATACACCATAGAAATCGATGTGTAAAACTCCCAGTCATGGTTTTCCATTGGAAAGGAACCCGCAAAAGTTCTGGACCCATCAAGAACAATATGGACAAACGAAACAACACAACACACAACGAAATCACGTCGCCACGTCTTCTTCGTTCGGGGTCGGGGCGGGCACGGCACAAAAAAACCAAAACAAAAAGGAGGCATCGGGTTTTTGTTTTTTGGTAGTTTTTGTGTTTGTTTCTTCACAGGGGGGTCCACCATTTTACATGCTGTTTTCTAGTGTGTGGATTTCACATGGAATTCTTGCGTGAGGTTGTTCAATCGGATCCCTTTTGTGGGCGATATACATGTTGACTTCCAGTGTGTCGATTACACATAGAATCCCTTTTGTGCGGCTGTTCAGATTCCTTGTGTGGGCGCTTAGCACTAATATTTCTCTCGTGTGAATTACACATCGAATTCCTTTTGTGCGACTTTCTAAGCGTATTCTTTTTGTTGTGGATTCACACATGGGTTCGCTGTGTGGATTTCAGATCGAGCCCCTTTTTGTGCGATGTTTCAGTAGGTTTCTTCTTGTGGGGGATTTACTTGTTGAGTTCTACTGCTCGGAATCCCGTAAAGGATTATGTAATTGGTGGCTTGACTTTCAACCATATGCTGGTAGAGGTGGATTGCATCCACTTCTTATCAAATCCCATGAGCAGTGGATATACCCCTAATTGGGTTCCATCAGAGGTGGCTCCATTCCCCATCATATTCAAATCGAAGCGGATACACATTTAACGAGATAGTACCCCAAGTGTGTCCATCCTTCCGGGGATCTGGTTAACTGTGGATCCACTTCTACTGGGGTGTTGCCAGGAGTAAGTTTAGATTGAATGTAATTCAATTGGTCTGATTCCGACCATAGCAGGGTCCCAATCGAGGTGGATGCACTTCTCATGGGATTCTATGAGAACTGAGTCCGTCCTCGATCGGATGTGGTCACACGTCGGTTCATTTTTGTCATAATTATGCGAGTGATGGGCCCACTTCTAGTAGGATGCCAGTAACATGTTCACTCCTGATGAGAGTATAGTAGAGGTGACTCTGCATGGGTTAGCAGGCGTCGCATGACTTAGCATGTTACAAGGTGCTGGCAGAGCTTGGCCAGGCTAGCAGGTGCTAGCACATATTGGCAGGTATCAGCAGGGCAGATCAGAGGCTAGCAGGGCTTGGTAGGGCCTATCAAGGCTTAGCTGGGCTTGGCAGGTGGCTCGCAAAACTTATCAGGGCTAGCAGAGGGCCGCAGTGCTTATCAGTGCTTAGCAGGACTTGGCTAGGCCCAACAGGGCTTTTCACATGGAGGTGGCTTCTTCTCTGATGGGGTTATATCACAGTTGTGCTCATCCTTATCCGGATTCTATTGGAGATGGGCGCCTTTCTAATGGGATTCCAGTAGAGGCGGGCCCACCAGTAATGGATGTTGTTTGGTGCGCGTGGTTCCATCCGTAACAGGGCCCCGTAAAATGGGAGGCGCACCGTTATTAGAAGTCCCATGAATGTGAGTCTTTGTTTGGTCATATGTTCATGGTTGGTTCATCAGTATCATGATTAGGTTAGACGTGGGTCCTTCCCCAATCGAATTATGTCAGATATGAATCATCCCTGAACGGGTTGCATTAGAAATGGTTTCTTCCCTGACCTGATTACAGTGCAGGCGGCCCCAGCCCTGCTAGGGTTAGGTTGGAGGTGGCGCCGTTCTGAATAGGATCATATCACAACAGGGTCCATCCCTGATCGGGCTTTGTTCGATGTGGTGTTATACCTAATGCGATTATATCAACGGTGGGCCCACCCCTTATTTGGACGTTGTTAGAGGTTGTTCGGCCCGTACAAGGATTATATTCCACGGTGCAACGTTACCAGTGAGATTCAGGTAGAGGTGGCTCGACCCCAGTAGGATATGATTACAGGTTGTCCCACCCCCCATATGGTTCATTCAGAGGTGGATCCGTCTCTTACAGATGGCTCCACCTCTAAGAGGATTATATTGGAGGTGTACCGAATCCACATCGAATACAGTACTACTCGAGGTGCGTTAATCCTTGATCATATTCATTCAGAGGTGGGCACATCCTTATTAGGATTCCGTTGGGGCGGGGTCCAAATCTCACAGGGTCTTATTCGGAAGGCAACGTGGCCGGTTTGTTTTAGAGGTGGCCTCACTATCGTTGGGTTTCTATTAGTGGCGGATCAACCTCCAGTAGGATTATATGACAGGTGGCCCTATCCCTACCAGGATCCCTGTAGAGGTGGGCCCACTTCATATAAGATTGCTTAGAGGTGGGGCCATCCTGTCTAAGTTTATAATACGACTGGGCTTACCTTTTTACATGGGATCTGTTAGAGGTGGGCCCACCCTTTGTAGGATTCCATTAGAGATGGGTCCATCCGAAGAGAAGAAAAGAGAGGGAGAGAGAGAGAGAGAGAGCGAAACAAAAAGAAAGATAGAGAGGGAGAGCACAAGAGAGAACGAGAGAGAGAGAGAGATAAATAAAGAAAGTAACAACCCAAGTAGTCCCACATGTCCCCTCCCCCCCCCTTCTGAGCCCCCCCTCGCCGCGCCCCCTCCTGACCTCCCAGGCTTGTAGCACTCCCTGACCTTCCAGAGTGCTAGAACACAGTGGCCCTCCAGGCCCTAGCGATCTGTCTGTACTGCCCAACCTCGACAGGAAGGTTTGGACGTCAAGGTCCTTGCGCCTTTTTTTCAGCCCTGCGGGAAGTTCAAGGCTGGCCCTTTGCGTTCCGCCTCCTCCCCTGGCCGAGGCCCGCCCTGTGCCGCCCCACCCCCTTCGGCCCTTGCGGTCGAACCGAGCTATAAGGTCGAGGTCGGTTCGGCGAGGGTGCCTTAATGCTTTTGGCGGCGTTTGTTGTCTGTTCTTGTGCATCCTGGGGAGGATGCCCTTGGATGTTCTGTGCGTTTGGGCCGACGGGGGGTGTCATGTCCTGGAAGGATGCTCTTCTGGCCTACGTCGGACGGTATGTTTTTGTTCGTCGTCGTCGTCCTTCGTCTTCGGCCCCCCTCCCTGGCCGCACTGTGTGGCTGCACCGAACTATCGTCAAGATGCTGGCTTCCTGGGTCACATCCACTCGGGGATCCAGGGGAAGGCGGAAGAGGGGGCGGAGGACGGGGGAGTACCAGGAGGAGCAAGAAGAAGAGGAGGAAGGAGAGGAAGAGGGAGGGATGGGGGATGGGGTGCGGATCCAGGGAGAATGCGGAGGAGAAGGATGAGGAGCCAGGCCCGCGGACGGAAAGGAGGACTCGGGTTGCCTCGCTGCGGGTAGTTCCCGTTGTGCTGTCGAGTCCAGTCCGCGGGCGGCATTGGCTGAGCCTGGAGGAGGAAGAGGGGACGGGGGGCCGGTCGGCGGAGGAGGAGAAGAAGGGGATCGGCAGAGAGAGGGAGCGGTGAGGGATTAGGATGAGGCAATGCGGGTGGGTGAGGACGGGGAGGACCCAGGAGAAGCATGGCGCGAAGTGAGTTGGCAGGGAGGGGCCAGGGTCAGGGTGTTTGGAAGGTTGGTTTTGTTTTTTTGGGGGGGGGCTCCCTGGAACCTTGTAGAGATATAGTCCCTGGATGTCTCTACGAGGTCCCAGGGAGCCCCAGACATCGGAAGATCATATCCAGATGCCTGCGGATAGCCCCGAGGAGGCGAGAGGAGGGAGAGAGCAAAGAGGGGCGAGGAGAGGGAAGGAGGACGGGGACGGAGGAGGCAAGGAGCGAGGATGGTCTCGTGCCCGCTTTGCTCGTTGCGGGACGGAGGCTGCAGGAGGGAGGAGAAGTTTTTCCCCCCTTTTCTCTTGCACAAAATATGTGTTCCGGCTTCAGCTGAGTTTGCTCGACTTTTGCCTCATGCAAGCAACCGAGAAACCGAGGGCGGATGGAGGAGGCATAGAGGGGCGACTGATACTTTGCAGCCGGCGCATTGCACGGCGTACCGCCTGCCGTGGCCAATGACCGTTTTTGTTTGCACACTCGCCAGAGCAAAAGAGATTGCGAGACGTTCTTCTCACAGAAATTCTTGACGCTTTGCGTATCCCCAATATTTTTTTTGCTCGGACGCTGCTGCGTGCCGCCTGACCGCGGCCTCGCGCGCGCCCGCCGCTAGTCGCGGCCGCAGCCCGCCCGCGACCGCCCGCCGCTGGCGCTTCCGCCTGCGGCTGTAAACAAAAAAGAAACGTATCCCCACTAATTTCCAAAGGGCGGTCTCGGCGCCGACTCGCCGCCTGTCGCCACGGTGGTTTTGCCGCCGGGACGTCTACGCTGGCTTGAGCGGTCAATTTGGGTTTTGACCCGCGCACGTGCATATGCCACTGCGGCCAATTAGCTTCGTTCGCTCTCCGTTCGTTGTTGACTCGCTTCTTGACCTTTGCCTTGGAGCCACGACCAAAAGTATCCCCACTAATTTGATCCCGCTCCCTGTCCCTCGCGTTGGAACCGCGAACCAAAACAACTATCCCCACGAATAAAAACTGTCAGCTTTCCCGCGCAGCCCCGCGGCTGCTTGGTGAGTGGGCCGGCCGGCCTGCGGCGCGTTTAGTAGCTAATTAGGCCGTTACCGTGCCCCGGAACGCGTCTGAGTCCGCTTGCGCTCTCGCTAGCGGACGCGACCGAAAAAGTATCCCCACGAACGTCGCTGTATAATAAGGCTCGCGCGTAGCCCGCTCGACCTTTTCGGACGCCTCCTGCGCTGTCGCTTGCGGCCGCGACAAAAAAAAATCCCCATTCACCCTTGACGCTGCTGGCGCGCTCACCTGCGGCGCGACAAAAACGTATCCCCACTAACCCATTCAGAAACTATCGCCAGGCGGGTTGCTCGAATCAGGACAGTGTTGAAATACGGAGTGGAACGGGCTGCCGTGGAAGCGTACCAGGGGCGCAGAAAAGGTGGAATCATGTTTTAACATTTCTAACCCGTGTTCCCTTGTTGTGCTGTTTTTGATAGGGATTCCCATTCCCTTGGGGGCGTTTTGCGATTTCTTTTGAGACTTTCTTGAGGCGGGAGACGGCGTTTTGCAACATATGGAACAAGTATGGGAGGTGGGGAGCGAGGAGGAGGAGAAACTTTACGAGGAGGGGGACGAGGAGGAGGAGGAGGAGGAGGAAGAGGAGGAGAACACAAAGACACGTACACAGGCGTGATGACATACATTGACGTCGTATCTGATCACGCATCAAAGGTCGGGAAACGATGTTGAGCCATACAACAACTGTTCCGTTCCGTGGCGGCTGGGTGGGGCCGCGTTGGCATTTCGTTGATGTTTGCTTTTCCAGCAGGACATGCTCTCGGATCTTCGGTTGCGGGCAGCCCGTGGGGCTTCCTGAAGCATTCACCTTAGGAGTAGAAAGGGGGCTTCCACAAGGAAATTCAGTTTAGGCCCCAGCCCGCATCCAGGGTTGCCGAGACAGGTGGGAGGGAACAACGTGAGGTAGATTGCGGATTGGGGAGGAGCCTCACAGCCATATGTACGATCTGAACAACTATCGTGCCACATCCCGCTTGTCGTGGCGTGTCGTGCCATGTCACGTCACCCGACGCCAATTCGCCCGCGTGGGCACACGAAGCGTGGGGCGGGACAGCGTGGAGAGGGGGGAGGATGCGCGTGAGCAAATGTCCACATATTGCAGGTCGGAAAAGGAGGAGGCGGGCGAGGATACGGCGGGGTAGAGAGGGGGAAGCGGCGTAGGAAAACGACCGCGAGGAGGATGAGGATGAGAAGGATGGGCAAATCCACCTTCCCGCGCACCCGCCCTCCCATTCCGTCGCAACTCCCTCCCTTGTCTGACGTTAGCTTCTTGTACAGCACGTAGACACGCAGGCTGTCCACACGTTGTTGCCAGATGTGTCCTTGCGGTCTGGTTGGTGCAGCTGGCATTCCGGCAGTATGCCGGCGATGTTCAGGCAGGAGGAGCAACCAGGGTTATGATCGTTCAATTTTGGATATTTGGGGAACCTCGTCTGTCCCAAGAATTGGTGTCTTCTCTTCTGCCCGACGCGGGCCGGATGCGGACTCGACGCGGATCTGGCATGGATCCGACGTGGATTCGGCGGTGGTATGGCATAGATTCGACACAGATTCGACGCTGATAGGGGCGCCGTTGGACAGTCAAGGCCCCCCGACGATGCAAAATAACATCCCTTCCCCTTTCCCTCCCCCTTTCCCCCCCCCTCCCACCCCCCAGACGGGCCTCGCAGCGGGGGCGGGGCGCGAGGTAGCGGTGGCTACGGCCCAGGCGTCAGCCAACCGTTCGCTGCTTGATGCCCCGCCCTCCTGCCTTCGCTCTCTGTTTCTTGCACGCTGTGGTGCTGCGCAAGTGCTCCAAATGAGCAACGCAAGAAAGAACGGGTCGTCTGCGCCGACATTGGCGCGTACGTTTCCCGCGTAAGGTCGCGCGCGAGCGCTCTCGTCTCCGATGTAGCTGCCGCGCTGGCGGCCCGCGTAAGCCGCCGCGTGATCGCGTAAGACCCGTTTTTGGTCGTCGGTCAAATGCCTTTCCCCCCCTCCCTTCCCCGCCCCCCCGCTCCTCCCCCCCTCCCCTGGTGGCGCACGCCCCGCGGTGCCCGTCCCCGCCCAGGATGCGGGACCGTAGCCGCGCCGCAGCTGGGGGAGCTGGGCGCGACGAGGAGCTACGTGTGGGGCGCCTCGATACTGGGGCCAATGCTCCGTTTTAAGATTTTTTGATGCCACGCCCTCCCCGCCCCAGTCAGAAGCCGTCGCCCGGGGCCACTTTCAGGATACAAAGACCACGCTCCTGGTTCCATGTCTGTTCATGGGAGCCCTGGGCGGCGACATTGAAATCGGGTTCTCCTGCATTTGGACCGCATTGGGACCGCATTTGGTTCTTCCTCCTGCACCTCCTCATTCTTCCTTTTTCTCCTCCTCCGCCTCGTTCGTGTCGTCTCCCTCGTTATGAAGGGGCGCATCTCGTCCAAATCTGGTCCAGATCAGGCCCAAATCGGACAGCGCCAGGGGCCACGCAGGCTCCCATGGAACGCACACCAAACCCAGGGAGGGCATTTTTTTGTATGCCAGTCCCACGGCCAGGACCCTCGCTTGCTCCCGGGGCTTTTGGCAGGGATGATACGCCAGCTTTTCTCGGACGCGAATGCGGACGGGGGCCAGCCAGAGCGCCAGATCTTGCAGGAAATTTCAGGGCCCTTCTCTTCACCCCCAATTCAGGTCACTGGAGGGTTTCTCCGAAGGGCTTAGGCGACCCGTCCTCCTCCTCCTCCTCCTCCTCCTCCCCCCCCTCCCTCCTCCTCCTCCTCCTCCTCCTCCTCCTCCTCCTCCTCCTCCTCCTCCTCCTCCTCCTCCTCCTCCCCCTCCCTCCTCCTCCTCCTACTCCTCCTCCTATTGCTCCTCCTCCTCCTCCTCCTCCTCCTCCTCCTCCTCCTCCTCCAAGTCCTCCTCCCCCTCCCCCTCCACCTCCTCCTCCTCCTCCTCCTCGGGTCGCCCACTGCCCCGGGGGAAACCGTGCACAGGTCACCCCCCGTAGCATCCACGCGAGCCAGGGTTGCATTGACCCCGGCTGGCGCGCAGGAGCGCGCAGGATATCCTGCAGGATCCTGCACCGCTCAATTGACCCGGGTTTGCAGTGACCCGGGTCGGTAGACCCC